TGAGGCAGGCTGAGGCTGAGGCTGTGTCTGTGACTGCCGTTGCCACTGCGACTGTCATCGCGAATGCGACTACGACTGCGAGAACAGCACAATTCTACAACTGGATTCTCATCTGAATCTTAAGGGGAATGCTTCCAGATATGCTCCTACACATCGCTGTTAGGTTGCTTTGCCGGGATAATTTTTGACCTTGGTGGGGTGTTTTGGGGGATTTTTACCTAACAGCTTGTTCTGATAGGTTTCTAGTGGTCTCAAAAGAGAGCAGCAGATGACTCCACAGGGGGGTCTGGGCGGGTGCCGGACAGGGTGCCGCAGAAGTCGTTTTAAGCCAACAGTCACACACTTCGTGCTCTTCGACCTCCCAGAACTCCATTCCCAGGCCACATTTTGGATGCCCGGAGCCAACTGTAGGCCACTTCGTGCTCTTCGACTTCCCAGAACTCCATTCCCGGGCCACATTTTGGATGCCCGGAGCCAACTGTAGGCCACTTCGTGCTCTTCGATTTCCAAGAACTCCATTCCCGGGCCACATTTTGGATGCCCGGAGCCAACTGTAAGCCACTTCGTGCTTTTCAAGTTCCCAGAACTCCACTCCTGGGCATGATTTTGAATGCCCGGAGCCAACTGTAGGCCACTTCGTGTTCTTCTAGTTCCCAGAACTCCATTCCTGGGCCACATTTTGAATGCTGAGGCAGGCTGATGCTGCGGCCGAGGCAGGCTGAGGCTGAGGCAGGCTGAGGCTGAGGCCGAGGCTGAAGGCAGACTGAGGCTGAGGCTGAAGCAGACTGAGGCTGAGGCTGAGGCAGGCTGAGGCTGAGGCTGAAGCAGGCTGATGCTGAGGCAGGCTGAGGCTGAGGCTGAGGCTGATGCAGGCTGAGGCTGAGGCAGGCTGAGGCTGAGGCCGAGGCTGAAGGCAGACTGAGGCTGAGGCTGAAGCAGGCTGAGGCTGAGGCTGAGGCAGGCTGAGGCTGAGGCAGGCTGAGGCTGAGGCTGAGGCAGGCTGAGGCTGAGGCTGTGACTGCGACTGCCGTTGCCGCTGCGACTGTCATCGCGAATGCGACTACGACTGCGAGAACAGCAGAATTCTACAACTGGATTTTCATCTGAATCTGAAGGGGGATGCTTTCAGATATGCTTCTACATATCGCTGTTAGGTTGTTTTGCCGGGATAATTTTTTGTTCGTCGAGAATCCCCCTATAGGGGGACAGGCCCGACTTAACACTACTGCCAAATCCCAAACCCCCGACGTCGTGTTTTCACCTAGCAGCTTGTTCTGATAGGTTTCTAGTAGGGTCAAAAGAGAGCAGCTGATGACTCCACAGGGGGGTCTGGGCGGGTGCCGGACAGGGTGCCGCAGAAGTCGTTTTAAACCAACAGTCACACACTTCGTGCTCTTCGACCTCCCAGAACTCCATTCCCGGGCCACATTCTGAATGCCCGGAGCCAACTGTAGGCCACTTCGTGGTCTTCGACTTCCCAGAACTCCACTCCCGGGCCACATTTTGAATGCCCGGAGCCAACTGTAGGCCACTTCGTGGTCTTCGAGTCCCCAGAACTCCATTCCCAGGCCACATTTTGAATGCCCGGAGCCAACTGTAGGCCACTTCGTGCTCTTCGAGTTCCCAGAACTCCATTCCCGGGCCAGATTTGGATGCCCGGAGCCAACTGTAGGCCACTTCGGTCTTCGAGTTCCAAGACTTCCATTCCCGGGCCCAGATTTTGGATGACCGGAGCATTTGTAGGCCATTCGTGGTCTTCGAGTCCCGAACTCCATTCCCGGGCCAGATTTTGGATTGACCGGAGCCAACTGTAGGAACAAGCATCGATGCTCGAGTTCCAGAAACTCCATGTTCGAACAACATGTGTGCATTGTGGGGCAGGCTGAGGCTGAGGCTGAAGCAGGATGATGCTGAGGCAGGCTGAGGCTGAGGCTGAGGCTGATGCAGGCTGAGGCTGAGGCAGGCTGAGGCTGAGGCCGAGGCTGAAGGCAGACTGAGGCTGAGGCTGAAGCAGGCTGAGGCTGAGGCTGAGGCAGGCTGAGGCTGAGGCAGGCTGAGGCTGAGGCTGAGGAGGCTGAGGCTGAGGCTGTGACTGCGACTGCCGTTGCCACTGCGACTGTCATCGCGAATGCGACTACGACTGCGAGAACAGCAGAATTCTACAACTGGATTCTCATCTGAATCTTAAGGGGAATGCTTCCAGATATGCTCCTACACATCGCTGTTAGGTTGCTTTGCCGGGATAATTTGTTACCTAACAGCTCTTGCTGATAGGATTCTAGTGGTCTCAAAAGAGCATCATGACTCCTCAGGGGGGTCTGGGCGGGACCCGGACAGGCTGCCGCCGCGGCTGCCGCCGCACTCGTTTTTCGCAAACAGTCACACACTTCGTGCTCTTCGACCTCCCAGAACTCCATTCCCGGGCCACATTTTGGATGCCCGGAGCCAACTGTAGGCCACTTCGTGCTCTTCGACTTCCCAGAACTCCACTCCCGGGCCACATTTTGGATGCCCGGAGCCAGCTGTAGGCCACTTCGTGCT